AAAAAAAAACAGGCAATGTGGTTTGTCGCATTTACAGTCGAGTCATCTGATTCAACTGCATCGTTTCGGTAATCTTGAAATACAAATAACCAAGGGGACAGTTGAGCAAACTCCTGTGTTTATTGTCAGACCGCCTGTGTAAATTTTTAACGAAATTAATTGAGAAGTAACCACATTAAGGACCATCACGGTATTTGCCAACGACGCAGTTAGGAAAGCAGTTTGCCTGAACAATCTGCCTGAATTTCAACTATCACTGTTATGCTAATCAAGGTAACCCTATTCTCTTGCAAAACCCCTTGTTTTCCCATGTCGTAGGTTTAATAGCGGAAGTTGACTGAACACTTTTCCTCATTCATTCATGCGACCTTAGTTTTTCTTCGCCGATGGTCAATTCTCACGGCCTGGGTGATGGCTGAGGTCTCATTCATTCTCAAAGTGACCCTAATGCACATAGCATGGAGCTTGTGAGGTTACTGCCTTGTTCATAGGACAGGATTTTTATTTTACCGTTGCATAAAGATTTTACGGTTTCTTCCGTTTAATTAAAACCGTTTGAAGTAATATTTTGGAGAACTAAAATGCTGAGTTTAAACTCTAAAGATTCTAATAAAAATGAATCTCGTGAACACTGAAAAATTTCCCAACAAGTTTAAGGTTTCTCAAAAATGCAAGTCTGTAGATCATGATGAAAAAGAAATAAATAAATCACGCGTATGTTGCGATTAGGATTGATTGAAAGTGGAAACATCCAATTCTAAATTGACAGTGTAGGTACACTTTTGATGTGAAGGGGAAACGCTTGATAGACTTCAGCATTTCAGCGCCTTTAAGCTTGATTCATGCTAAGTTATGGGACACAACCACAGGTGATTGAGGAATACATTAATTATGGTGAAATTTGAGCATATTAGATGTGAATTTTCCTTAAACATAGGCCTGTGTGGGCATGGTGTCAACATCTGTGCCTTCTTTCCCGTTGGAAGCAGCTTTGGAAAAGCTCTTGAACTGCGGATAGAGGTCTCGGGGAACAATGTTGGATGCAGGAGCTGTGGGCAAGTTCGATAGAGGAGAACTCCTTCGAAGGGAATCCATGTTTGCAAGTCTGTAGCGTTCCCAAAAGGCCTTCACTACCGCAGCTGCAACCTGCTCCCCAGCATTCAGCCGCACCATTCGCACAAGGAAAATTCCCTCATGACGGAGATAGTTGCGAGCAAAGTTTTCTACCTCTTTTTCCTCATAGCGCGTAAACGTTTCTGTGCTGAGTTGAATGTACTTAAAGATGTAATTGGCCTCCCGATTACGTGTGCTGAAGCGAAACAACCAAAGACAAAGGTAGAAGGTAGTGATGCAAGCAGCAGCCATGATCCACCACCACAGGAAAATGTAAATCTTCTCATTGAGCATGTTCAAAGGCAGGGCGCACTGCGCGGTGACGGCGTTGGTCTTGACTCCGAGGAATTTCAGCTCCACATAACAGAAGCCGACTCGTGGAAAGATTTGTGTCACTTGCCAATCATGGCCATTCACAATATATCTTAGAACACTGAAACCGTAGGCAAGGTCAGTGGCTGAGCTGAAACCGAGGAAACGCTGCATCATGACCAGCTGACCGATAGCATTGATAAGATAGAGGACTTTTACCACCAGATATGCAATAATTATGTTTATACCGCGAGGAAATTCGAGGCGCCCAAGACCAGCCGAAATCTTTCGAGCGAAGCGCTAAAAAGCAATCCAAATGTCGCCATTGATTTATACGTGATCGTTCCCTAAAAGCTAGTCCATTATTGTAAATATTATTAGAGCTTTTTGTGTTAGATTTCATTTTTGGTTTGCTAATTTACAAGATTAAAAGGATATACCTTTGCAAAGTAATACTCAGCAATGTCGGCAATCTCATTGATGGCTGCTTGACGTTCGCTTGGTGGAGTGTGGAGAACTTCCACCGAACGCAGTACTACTTGGCTAAGTGTATTTCCATTCGTTCCAGAGTGAAGATAAAGCAGTTTCCAGATTAATCGAGGTAGGCAAAATAGGATGCACTGCAGCCCAAGGACAAACGGAACCCATTGGTAGTACACTGAATTTCAATAAAACAGTTTTACTTACAGCCAATCAGTAGACCCTCATGTATTCTTAAAATCCAAGTTTCGTCTAGTCTATAAATGGACAATTTTCAAACAACATTTTGGTTTTAGCATGGTATCAGGTGTCTACATTGGACAACTGGTGAAACGATAGTATAGCTGAATGCATTTCACTAAAGCGCTTTAAATCACAAAATGATAAAGATCCATTTACTAGCAACAGGCATTTTTGATTTAAAACTCAAAAGGCTCAAAAGATCGTATTGCTTCTTGGTCTTGAATCTATGTTTAATGTTGAGAGTAACACTAACTTTGTTGAGTGTAATGCAATTATTCAAAGTGCTTACTATTTGATTACTGACTGAGGTATTTGAAACAAATAAGCGTTGTGAAGCATCGCGGCAAATAATTATCACTTCAAGGCATGCATGATAGAATTTTAAGCCAAAGAAACGTGGCAGTGTTAATTACTCTTCAGTTTTCTAAAGCAGACCTACTTAGCAAAGTGTCCGCTACCTACTTCAGTGCATTCTTCATATGACATTTAATGAACTACCCAATATTAAGCACTGCAGCATTATCGAAACTTACATATCTTCTTCTCCTCAAGCTGCAACCATTCAGTCTCGTTTGTAGGCATTCGGCCAGTATAAGTGATGGGCACGGTACCCTGAACCCAGCAATAGTTCTCAACATAGCTCAACAGGTTTGTCCCTCCCACCTCTGTAGCGATGAAGCAGGAAATGGGACTAAAGAAGTACTGCCTTGTGGAGACCACGAAGACACACACTAGCAATACCAGACCACATCCGAAGTAGTTGAAGCGATCAGCAAAGTCCTCAAGGTCACCTAAGTGCGTGTTCACCTTCTCACATATCCGCAGGGCGTCGTCCATTAACTTCGTCATTTCATTCAGAGTTTACTGTGGAACTCTAGATCTAGTCGTCTGTGGCTATACGACGCTATAAACTTGTGTATGTGTGAGTCCGATTGCACAAGTATAGGGGAAGACCTTTGTACTCATTCAAGAAAAGAATGAGACTGGGGTGGGGGCCTAGGAATCGCATGATTGGCAGCTACTTTAGCACTAAGAATGTGTCAACGAATTGAGCTATTCGGCTAGAGATCACGCGCTGCTGTAAACCCTCGGTTTCCTACTTTTTTAACTAAGTTCCACTAAAACCTGTAGGCGCACATCTTGCCCATAGACTTGAAATTAAGTGGTGTAAATTAAGTTAGGTGAAGGCATTAAAGCACGAGCCACGCTTCCTTCCTTGCATTTTACTATATCAATCCAGGAGAGTGTTCGTCATGTAGTTACTTCTTATTGACAGACATTCACGTCGTAAGCCCTCGAATCAACCTCTTTAAACTCAGAGACCACGCAAGTCCAGATCACAAAACTTGCAGAGACCCTTCACCGTACTCCGAGCGGCTTCAGTGAAACCAATACACCGCCTTGCAATCCTACATTTGCGTAGATAGTAGCATTTTTCTGCAACCAAAGCATTTGTACTTCCCTCCTTTTGCATTTCAAAGTTGACAATTGCCTACGTTATTCGATCTAACAGCATTGAATGCATCCTTCCTTACATATAACTGCGTAATCACTAGTCGCGCACAGTGCAAGGCTCAACGGTGTCTACTCACTACAGTGCAGTACGTTTTACTTGGTGAGAGACGACGGTGTTCATTCCACACAGCCCTGATCGAATGTGCGTTCGCCTTTTATGAATCGAGTCGGTAATTGTGGTAGTAGGGAGTGGAGGCATCCTCAACTCAGTGGAAAGTCACCTTAAATAACAGCAGTCCCTTTTCCTATCATGTTGCGATGAGTGCACATTACAACACTCATCGTGAGGTCGTAACATGTCAACCGCCTTCACCCGTTGTCAGTGACCTTTTCACAACTTTTATTATTTTCTGTAAACGAATGTTTTGTCTTTAATTTTGTGGCGCGAACACTCGACTTGAGGTTTGTGACACTGCTGCTTCCAACAGTACCAAAAGTAAACCCTTCTCATCGTGGAAGCAGCCCTAAGAAAGGCGTGTTTTTAGCATTTTGGTAGATGTGCTTGGCCTAAAGCAGGTTTTGCCAAAGAAGCACAAATTGCAAGCTTAAACATGTGGGCGACCTCACAGACCTGAAGGCGGTGCGGTGTGGACACGACATTTCAAGGTAGTAGCTTAACAAGCAGGGCCTCCAATCAATCGTGCTTCAGTACTTGCGACTGGCACTTCAACCTTCAAACAATTGGATGCCAACTTCACTTTTCATATCTTCCGCCCTCTATCAAACCTGCATGAAGTAGGAGAATTTAGCATTTGTGAGGGAGTCATGTATAATTGATGAAACCCACTTTGGAAACTTCTATGGGGGTGACGACCCCTCCTAGACAAAGTGAGGGCGTCTCCTTCCATTCATTCATTTCATTTACATCTCCAATATCTGTCACCGTATCAGCATTTATAAAACCTTATAGTGCAAACATTGAGAAATTGCATAGTTAAGATTTCTTCCAACTTCCCATTGGGAAAGTGGGAAGATCATCCTGAAGAACTGTTTTTCAACCTCAACACCGTAATTTCACCTACCCTTGCCTGGCCTTAGCAAGCTGACTGCCTACTGCATCCAGTGCGAATGCGAGCTGCAGTGAACGAAGAATAGTGGAAGAGGATTGTGCTCACATCGAGTTTCGACAAGTAGGTCAAACTTAATGCGCTAGCTAAACCAAACTTCCAGCTAAGCTGCATTAATCCAATGCTCAAATTGCCATATCCATCGAAGGCTTGGCACTTATGGACACAAAGGAAAAATTATTCCCAATCTATTCCGATAATGACTTTCATTGCATCAACAGACAAGGCAAAATGAAGGTTACTACGGATAAAATGGCAAAAGACTTTAAAGTGCTGACTGATGAAATGGAAAGCTTTAGTAGCTTTGTCAATGTGCTACATGGTCTGATGAAGTGATAAGTTGGCAAATTTTAGCTGGTTAGACCACTCTCGCTCCTCAATTGTCGAATACGACCGCAAGAACTTCTCTTTGTTTCATTTACTTAGGACAGTAGAAGCAATATAAAGAAAGCGATCACTCCTCCCCCATTACCTAAGGCAGTAAGGGCGTGTAAACCCAACGCTTATAATGAAATTCAAGCTTAAAAATGAACCCAAACTAGAGGCTCGTCAGAACGCGTACGCATTCGCAACAAGTGCCAACGGTAGATTTTCGTGGAATGCTTCTATTTTCAGAAAGTCCAAATCTTCAGTCGTAGGGAAAAGAGAAGCTCACGCAAAGCTGCAGTACTCTGCCAACACGGGAAGCAAGTATGCCATGCATCTGGATGCACAAAAATTCCCACTTTGCATAGTCCCAAGCTGCGATAGATGAAAAGCAAATATTTTAGCGCCGTTCCACTTCGTTCTAAGCATCAGCTACAATGCGCTAGGAGGCAGGCAGCACTCTATTCTTCGATGATCGGCTATGTTGAAGAGGCGATGTCATTCGCTGTTAGAACTTCCAAGCAGCAAGAAGAAGTGGTGGAGTAGCAGAAACGACGCGCACCAGAGGCAGATGATAGCCTGTTCATTGCCGATTTGTTGCCTTATCACTTCTATTGCGCTGCCGCACGCGATAAGAAAGCAACTACCTAGTATTTTCGAACACCCGGATCACACTCCAGTAACTTCGGAACCAATCAAACACCGTTGTCTACCGCGCTGACACAAACCTCTTGGACCTGCTAGACTCCAAGAGTTCGTACGATCGCCTAATGGCGTGCCAACAAGTTTATTCAAATGGGCTAAACTGCGACACATTCACGCCATCAGATGAACTCAATAGTGGCACATTAGTAATAACGCTCACAGCAGCTGCGACGGTAGCCAAACCCATAGAATGACCTCCAAAGACAACAAGCACCACGTTAGACAACTCACAGACTGAGCTACACATCCAACGAGAACCCTGAAGGAGAAGTACACGAGCGAGTCTAACAATGAGGCATTGAAGCAACCAGTGAGGGGAGACCCATCCCTCACGATCCCCCACGTACGTAGATCGAGGAGAACACGACCGCGCACCAAAAGTAAAGCATCGTAGTGATAATCAGTACCATTAGAAAGAGATTCCCACACCCTACACATGCGAGCATCACAACGTAGGGAATTTATTGACATATAAAAGGACGAAAAAAAGACAATGCAATGCTAGGCGGCCATAAAGGATAGCCAAACGCTTCTACCACCAATATACACAAGCACGCCAGCAACTGTACAAAAGTCACTCATTTATAACTCTTCCCTTGGCGTACTTTCGGTTGGGGGAGGAGGAGCCGCCCCTTCGTAGAGCTTGCTCACAATTGGTTGAACCACACGCTCAAGCTTTGCCTTCTGCTCCTTGTACTCACTGGTTTCAGCTTGTGGATTGTTCTCCATCCACTTAATAGCCTCGTCAGCTGCGTTTTCGATGGTTTTAACCTCATCTTCGCTCAGCTTTCCACCCATCTTTTCTTTGTCCTTGACTTGATTTTTAATGGAGTAGGCAAGACTTTCAAGGTCGTTGCGAACCTCTACACGCTCCTTGACTTGCTTATCCTGGTCTGAGAACTTCTCGGCATCCTGAATCATGCGCTCAATCTCCTCAGGACTGAGACGATTTGTCTCTTTGTTTATTACAATATTGCTTTTCTTCCCAGTGCCTTTATCCTCGGCAGATACCCGAAGAATACCATTCACATCAATCTCGAAGGTGACTTCAATTTGGGGTAAACCACGGGGAGCCGGAGGAATGCCTGTCAGATCAAACTTACCCAGGAAATGATTATCTTTAGTCATTGGACGCTCACCCTCAAACACCTGAATGGTAACGGTTGGCTGATTGTCAGCAGCTGTAGAGAAAATTTGCGACTTTTTGGTGGGAATGACAGTATTCCTGGGAATAAGTTTGGTCATAACGCCTCCCACAGTCTCAATACCCATGGTCAATGGGCAAACATCAAGGAGCACGATATCACCAGTATCTTCAACACCGCTAATAACACCGGCTTGCACTGCAGCGCCATAAGCGACAGCTTCATCAGGATTAATGCCTCTACTTGGCTCCTTGCCGTTGAAGAACTCCTTCACGAGCTGTTGGATTTTGGGTATCCTTGTTGACCCACCAACTAGAACGATATCATCAATATCCTCCTTTTTGAGACCGGAATCCTCCATCACTTTCATAACGGGTTTAAGAGTGCTACGGAAGAGGTCATTGTTTAGTTCTTCAAAACGAGCTCTTGTTAAAGGTTCAGAAAAGTCTTTGCCTTCAAACAGATTGTCGATTTCGATCATAGTGCTGTGCTCTGTGCTAAGGGTACGTTTCGCTTTCTCAACTTCACGCCTCAATTTTTGAACAGCACGATCATCCCTCGTAATATCCTTGCCCTCCTTCTTCTTATACAATTTTACGAAATAATCAATAAGGCGTTGGTCAAAGTCCTCGCCACCAAGATGAGTGTCACCACTGGTCGCAACAACTTCAAACACACCATTGTCGATTGTCAAAAGGGAAACATCAAAGGTTCCACCGCCAAGGTCAAACACAAGAATATTCTTTTCCGTATCTTTTTTGTCCAATCCGTAAGCAATCGCTGCGGCGGTAGGCTCATTAATGATTCGCAAGACAGTCAAGCCAGCTATAGCACCAGCGTCTTTGGTTGCTTGACGTTGGGCGTCATTAAAATAAGCAGGCACAGTGACAACAGCGTGTGTGACTTCAGTTCCAAGATAGGCTTCAGCAATCTCCTTCATTTTACTGAGAACCATAGCCGAAACCTCCTCAGGAGCGAACCCCTTCTCCTCGTTACCTACTTGCACCTGCATGTACGGTTTGCTGTTTTTGTTGATCACTTTAAAGGGGTAACGTTTAATATCACTCTGCACATCTTTGTCGTCATAATCACGACCGATGAGACGTTTGGCATCAAACAAAGTATTCTTGGGATTCGAAGTCAGCTGATTTTTGGCAGCGTCACCAATTAGCCGTTCCCCGTCACCAGAAAATGCAACATAAGATGGAGTTATTCGATTGCCTTGGTCGTTTGCGATGATTTCAACACGTCCATTCTTGAAAACACCAACACTAAAATATAAAATGCAAAAAGTTACCAATGCTCATGCATCGGCAAAACCCTAGAAGATGAACTGGCTATAAGTGGACCAGTCGACTAACAAGAACCCGAATTTCGTATAGAAAAACGCAGATAATGAACCAAAAATACACAACCCACGTTGCCTAATATAAATCAGGTTTAAAGACTTACCATGAGTAAGTAGTACCAAGATCAATGCCTATGACAGTCCCGTAGTCTTCCTTACCGGACTTGCAATGGGATAACGTCAAGATAGAGAGTAAAAGAACACCAACATGTGTGAAAACACCCATCACGTTACTGTAGGGAGAGACAACCAAGATGGTGGAACTTATATCTTGTAACTGACAATGTGTTATACCGTGATTGGTCAATGTAATGCATCGTCATGAAACGTCATAACTCAAATAGTTTAAATAAAAAAGTGACGTTGAAAAAAAAATGCAAACTAAGGAGAATACACAAGTTTCATAATTTTTCCGCAGTTGTCAAATAAAATGCCATTAAAACGCACTCTTTTGCACCGCAGTCAGCAAACTTTTTAAATTGTGGATTATCTAATTTTAGTAACTGTTGGACAGTATCCAAGTCAGTGTGAGGAAAATTCGGTGGCAAATTGCAACTGACACTATCAGTTTAAGGTCTACTCAACAGAGTTACTAGTGCAATAATGGTTTCAGACCTTATTAAAACCGAAAGAAGGCGTAATAACAGAACAGAATGCATAGTTAAAATACCTTAATTATATGACTAATTCTATGAACGGTGGTTTCTGTAGCGTCCCGAGACTTCCCGGCCGGTATAAAAGTCAGTAAGTGTGGCTGGATACATGTATTCTGAAGACGACAGGGCAAATGGGCCTGGGCATGGTCCGAAGACCAGCCCACGTGTACAAGGAGCGGACATATCCTAAAGTGTGGTCACACACCATAAACAAAGCATTACACTGTCCTTCTCTTCTTTTGAGCGACATCCTCAGCACTCCTCTTGGTATACCTCCCGCGCCAGCCATCACAACACGTTCGGCACTACAAGAAAGCACCCACGAGCCAACTGCTCCAGTCGACAGATAGCGTGAGACG